ATTTTAGAATTACTTACTTGCCTATATTTAATATTATATTTATTTTTTTTTTGCAACTTCCACATCTATTTTTTGATTTATGCTGTATGAAAGGTATAGAATATTATACCATCAAAAGAGGTTTAAAAATCAACTTCAATAAATACATATTTATCGTTAGTGTAAGGTTAAAATTATTTATACTATTTTATTCTAATTTTACAGGCAAATACTCGTATTCAAAACACCCTGGGTTCCATTCGTACCGTCATTCTCAATTGCCGTCAATTTATACTTGATATTTCAGCTGAGCTCGATGACTCTACTCCGGATTATTGTATGGGTTTCAATTGGTATGTACTATAAATAATAAAATTTTTGGTGCGAGTATAAATTTTAGTCAGTTGTACAAAATATTTATATCTTAGGCAGATAATAATACAACTTTATTTATTTTATCTTAATTTATTAACTTGAACAGAACAAACAACACTACTCAGCTAGAATTGCAGTAGTAGTATAACAATTACAATATTTGACTTTAATATTTTAAGGTTAGGTTGGAGTGTCTACAATATAATAATATGTTTAGAACTCAAAGTTAAATACCGTCGAATATATGATGGGAAAAATTGATATTTTATCATAAGATTTCTAATTATGTTTTGTTTTTCACTTTAAAACAACTTTGTAAATTTTTAATTTTAGTTGAAATGGATATAATTTATTTTTGAAATAAGTACCTAATAACAAAGTTTTCTAAAGTGTATTCTTTATTTCCAAAAAATTTAATTTGTATGCTTTCAATATATTACATGTTACATATTATACTCTATTGTTTATTAAACAAATGTTTATCTCAGTCAATTTAATTTAATATTTTGTTATTCATAAGTGTAGATCTGTGATGTTGCGCAGAACAAGTAACYTATTAATTTTACTTTTGTTTTTGTAAGCATTTTAAGGATAGTACCGAGTGGTGCTATAATTACAAAATACAGGTATCCAAAATCACATTGATAATCAATATTCTTAAATGTTTGTAGTTTTACAACGCTAAATTARGAAGTAGTTTTCCAATATGTAAACTTTGATAGATTTTTTTTCGTCGTTGATAATAAATTATTATTAGTTTTTTAAATATATATTTCAAAGTGAATGTTAAAGAATAAAGATATAAAAATAATAATAGATAATACTTTGTTTTGTTATTTCTAATAATAGGAATAGTTATTCAAAATACACAATATTGATTAGACTGCAGGACACGAGTAGACTCAATAATTTCACTTGGACAGCTAAAAAATTTAWACTAGCACATCTAAGTTGCGTATCTAATAATAATTAAAAATGTTATGTTTAGCTTTCCACTTTTACAGACGGAGAGGACTATTATCTTTTATATAAATAAGTTTTACACGCACGTTTTTTAACACAATCATCTTTAAATGTTATTATTTAAACAGTTTTGAAAAGCAAATGTATAACCATAGTATGTAATTGTCGAACTGTAATAGTTAAAGCTGATGGTTCTAAAATAAAAAAAAAAAAAAAAAAAAAAAAAACCATCCATATAATGTAAAATTTATTGTTTATTTTCTACACTTAAAACGTTATCAATTTCTATTATCATTGAACAATTTTATAATTTAAGAAGTTTGAAATTATGTTGTTATAACGGAAGTACGAAATTAATGGTCAGCTTTATCTGATTGTTCGATAAAATCCATAGATAACGTATCTAAAAAGTTGTGGCTTCTCAGTTATAAAGGCAATGATTTGATACAATTTATATCAACAAAGAACATTTGCGGATGTTACTCGAACAGTTGGAACTACAATCGATAGAATTGCGGATATACTCGTAACTTCGACCTACACAACTGACCAACCACAGACAAAATTTGGTTTCGTGTTATTTATTTCGGACAATGCCATTCTATACTAGTTTAGAATATTAGCATATTTGTACTATCTTAAATTTAAATATATAGGAAAACAAATCCAATATAGAAGAATAATGTTAACAATCATTCACTTAATTTCAATGAATAACGGATGAGCAACTTTYAGAAAGTAAAATAAATATAAATAATAAATTAATAACCAATTTATTATGTCGGGTGAAGTGGTAAATAATTTCCAATAAATTAGTATAAATAATTACCTACGAACCACTTCAACGACGGTTAAATAATAATAATAATATTTAATTTCAAATATTTACAATAACTGCAGTTATGCAAATTCACTAAAATACTAGCTGAACTCGTGCACTTTGTAGCCCGTTAAAAATCCTACTTCTTATATAGCTCAAACTGTGGGTTAGATTCCTTTCCTGTAATAAAACGAATAAAACTATACAATGATAAACTAAATTGAATATGGTGGACGGTGGTTGTTATATAATATAATAAAATAAAATATAGGTACTTACCTAGTATATTTTAACTGTTATCTATCTATACGTATAACAATATACTGCTATAGCATAATCATAGGAAAGAACACACAGTTTGAGACATATAAGAGGTAGGATTTTTAATGGGCTACGAAGTGCGCAGCTTCAGCTAGTACAATTAATAATAAGCAAAGTCGGTTGGCGCCAAAATGTTGTTTTATTTAATATATAAAAAATTATATTAGATTTGATACCAATAGGAACCTTACAATAATATTTAATATATATTTTTAGTGGAGATATGGCGAAACTATTGTATTATACGTTACCTGTTGCACTATGCCTTTAATACATAGACCTCCGATTCATAMATATTATAATATTATTATGTTGTGTCATTTTTCCAGGTCTATTCGTCTACTTCTATTACGGGATAAAGCACAGCACGTTGGAGCCGCGGGTGGATGAAGATGAGAGAATTGAACTGAAAATGAAATCGCAGACGATGACAAAACAGCAAAATAACCGACCACAAGCACCGGCATCGGCTCCGGCGAAGTCTTCAGCCAACGCCAACACTAGCTCCAATGCCAATACCACTACCCCCAAASCCTCCGCCTCCACTGGAGTAGCCTCGGCCACCACTGCAGCAGTGGTCGATGAAAAGACAGAACCGAAGAGGCCGACCAACTTGGAACCGCTACCCGCAAAGAACGACAGTAATTTGTTTGT